TACTCTTCTCCAGCACCACAGCTCAAAGGTCTCATTCTCCTTCTATCATCCCTAAGTTATTGTCCAGTTTTCTGATGCATAGCACATAACTGCAAAGACCATGGCCTGGATAAGGCACACCTTAGTCTCCAGACTAACATCATTGCTCTTCAGTACTCTGGAGATGCCCCTGATAGCAGACTTTCCCAATGCAATTTGTTTTTTATTTCCTGGCTGCTGGGGCCAGAGTGTTAACAAAAAGTCATCGTTCAAAAGCTGCCATGAGGCAGGCCAGGATTAATCATCAATCTGAGCCCCAAGCCCAGAGGAACGAGCCCCAGAAGCCAGGTCAGGCTGTGGTGCTTTTACCAGGGAATGAAGACTTCAGCTGAGCTTCAAAGAATGGGCAGTATATTAGAAAGAGAGTAAGTATGATTAATTGTCAACACTAGACTAACAGCCTACATTAGTTGGATGCAATTGCTACCAGTAAAAGAAGGCCCTCCTCCTCCCATTTTCCCTGTCATTACTCAAATTGTCAACATTTGCACTTGTCCAAATCAGGGAAGATAATTCCATTTTAAAAAGCATCATTTTACCCCTAACCACTAAACAAAGTTGCTGGTTATTTCTGGGCAGAACAATCAACTCTAACTATTTGAATGAATTATTGCTTATTAATATCCTTTGTTGGAACATGAAGCTGCTAAGAGTGATATTTAGGAGATGAGTTCTTTGTATAATTTTTATTATTGTTCAACATCTTCTTTCCCCCTTCCCCCCTTCCCCAGCCCACTCCGCAGTGCACCCCTTGTTCCAGATTGTTGTTATACATATAATGCCTAGTCATATATTCTTTTCAGATAGTTCTTCCCCTAGTCTGATCTAATGCAGTGTTCATTATCTATTGACTCTTCCCCCATTCTCTCCCCAACACCCCCCCATGCCTGTCCTATATTGTAACAACTGTGTTATTCAGTATTTGTCCTTTCGTGACTGAGATATCTCACTCAGCATAATGTCCTCCAGGCTATGTTGTGTATTGTTTTACAACTTACTGTTCCTCAGTGCTGCATAGTATTCTGTTGTGTGAATGTACCATAGTTTTTCTACCCATTCATTTTTTTAATGGGCACTTGAGTTGCTGCCATCTCTTTGCTTTTGTAAATAACATACAGCAATAAACATGGGTGTGCATTACTAGGAGAGTTTTGCTGAGCAAAACTGGCGGTGACTCTCTCTTGCCCCTTATTTTAAACTGTTCCAGTGAGGAATGAGACTGACCACAAACTGCTTCTCATTCCAGCCACTCCCTGGGTGAGGACATGTGCCACTGTGATGATACACTGTGAGTGCCCTGCATGTACGTGGGAGCCACCAGGAGAGAGATGAGTCTTCACTCAGTGCCACACCCGGACTCACAGCCAGTGTGCAAACAAGGAGACCGGAGGACAAGAAGCTTCCAGAATGAGCATGGAGTCTCTGGATCGTGGCAGAGGAGTGAAGATGGTGAGTAAGTGGTTGGGCCATGTGGTGAATTTTCTCTGCAAATCTATTCCTAACCACTCCCTTTGGGAAGCTTTCTATGAACCACAGAGGGGCTCATTGACTCTAGAACACTCCTTTCCTTCTGCCATTGTTCAAAACAAGCCTGCAGAGCACCCACTGCTGTGGACTCCACTCTCACGCCTCTCTCCTGTGGACCCCGCTCTCACTCTTGCCTCTCTCCTGCGCACCGGGCTCTTACTCATGCCTCTCTCTGCTTTCTCAAGAGCTCTCTCTCCCAGAGAGTGACGGTTGGATTTGCCTGCACTGAGCCACCGAGGTCTCCTTGCAAACACCATCACAGTATTTGTTGGATCCCAACAAAAGTTGCTTCATTTTCCTAAACCGTCCATGGTGTTGGCCATATGTCACTAGACGTGACAGTCTCGTCACGTCCCCAGCACCTGTCACAGGTGCCCTGTGGTTGCTGAGTGAACGTAGGAGGGAAATGAAAGCTCAGGGCCAGACTATTCGGTCGCTGTGGGGTTCAGATAAACCAGAGTCCCTGCGTCACACAAATAGTTAAGAGATGCCTCAAAAAGAAGTCCCTGTGGCGAGCTCTGGTGGTCTAGTGGCAGGAAACTGCACTGCAATCCCAGAGGTGCGTGGTTCAAATCCACCAGATGCTCTGCTGAAGAAGGAGGAACAATCGCCTCCTGTACCAGTCAGATCCAATTTGACGGTACACACATAAAATAAAATAAAATAAGTCCCTGGCAATCCATTTCGGGGGGGAGTAGGAGGAGGGGAAGGCTAATAAAATCCCATGGAGCTCTGGTGGCCTAGTGGTAAGGAGCTGTGCTGCCATTACAAAGGCATGTGGTTTGAATCCACCAGCTGCTCTGCAGGAGAAATATGGGAAATCTCCTCCTGTGCAATTTATTGCCTCTGAAAACCCACTGGAGAGTCAGCTGTGAGACAGTTCCCGGTCGAAGACAATAGCAAAGTCCTGCAGAGCAGAGACATTTGGGAGACAAGTGGACAAGAACTGCTTCCTGGTTCAGGTGTGATCTGGGCCAAGTGGTGGATTCGGGAGCTGGGTCCATTCAAAGTAATCTGAGAAAGCTACAAAACAAATGCCCAAAACCACAGGCGAGGTTGGCTTGGTTTGTCAGGCAGACTTCTGCTGAAGGTTGAGAGGAACCTGAGTGTGTGGACATCAACAAGTACACAAAAGCAAAGGTCCTGGAGCCTCCACTGCACCCTGCAGAAGCCCCTTTGCCCAGACATGAGACGCTGCTGAACTCCTGAGAAGGTGAGAAGGACTCCCCTATGTCCCTTCACCCCCTGAACACTTCTTGTTCAGCAGATCCCACATTTCAACATCCTAGCAACATGTAACAAGGAACTCTGGCGGCCTAGTGGTAAGAAGCTGCACCGCAGTCCCAAAGGCACACAGTTCAAATCCCCCAGCTGCTCTACTGGAGAAGGAGGAGTAATCTCCAGTGCCATTTACTGCCTCTGAAAACCCACTGGAGGGTCAGCTACAAGCGGTTCCTGCAGCACACAAGACAACAGCCACCTGAAAAGGGATGAGCTTCTGTCTGACCTGTGAGACCCTCACCACCACCCAGGATTGAGGACCCCCATTCAGTGTGGAGAGCAGGCAGGACAGCCAGTGCACTGTCAACAGCCGCAAAATCAAAGCAAAACTTCCCCAATAGAGCAAACGAAAAATCAGAGTCCACACTCGTGGCTCACCTGATTTATTATGGCTGCAGCTAGCCTGTTTGCCCCTCTCTCTGTTTTTTCCTGAAAAGTTTCTAACAAAAATTCCATGGGACTGATAAAAGGAAGTGTAAAAGCAAGAAAAGCTCGATCCCTGGGGGCAGAAGGCCCGGCAGCGCAGATTGCTGAGGAAAGATGCTGGCAAGAGCAGGAGTCAGCACGAAGAAGGGACCCAACCCGGGGCTCCGGGTGCAGTTAGCAGTCTGTGACTGGCTGCGAAAGAAAAGGTAGTGCTTCAAACCACCCAGTAATTTCACAGACGACCTGGCAAACTACTCCCATAAACAAAATCGCGCCCACAGAGCAGTTCCGTCCTGTAACACGTAGGAAACTGGCTGGACAGCACCAGATGGGATTTTGGTTGAAGGTGATGTGTGTGCGCGCGCGCATGAGCGAACACACACACACACACACACACACACACACACACACACACGGACAGCGCCGCCTCCTGGGGTGGTTTCTTCACCCAGCAGCAACCTGCCCCTTCCACTGGGCATCAATGCTCTGATACCTCCAAATGGCACAGGGTGGCATTGACTTCGCCACTTTAAAAAAACGCAATCAAGAAGCATCCCCACTCCTACCTTTACACTCACTGGGGAGAGGGACACCCGTTTGCTTTTGCACCAGCAGGTGGAGATTTCTGACAGGACTGGACAGACGTCAGCCCCCTCTCTGAGACTAAAGGAAAGGCAGGATGGCACTCAGTGGGGGCAGGAGGTGCTGTTGGGGCATGATGGAAGTCAGGCCCACCTAGCCGACTGCGCACACAGTTGCGCCACTCTGGCTACCACAGCTCCCTGGGGCAGAGAGGCAGTGGACAGAGAGAACAGAGGAAGAACAGTGTCAGCGCAGGTGGGTGTGAGCCCCACAAACCTAGCCGCACAGCCCACCCCCACGCCCAGCAGGGTATTAATGGGAGTCTGAGTGAGAATGTGAGAAAACACCAAAGTCAACTAAACACCCACTTCCTGTCACCCTTTTCTCTGGGGAACTGGGGCCATCCAATGCTTACTGGTCTTCTCCAAGAGAAGAAAATGTGGCCTGCCGTGCCGCCCAGCGCGAGAGGATCAGCCTCCCAGCCCGCCAAGGGCCCGGGCCAAGTTGGCGAGCTGGGAGACGGGGTGTCGTGAATGAAGGCAGAGATTTGGTGTAGGTTAGGGAAAGGTCAGGAAAAACTCCTTTCCTTCTTTCGAAGCCAGAATGGGACCAAAAATCCCACGGGTGCGCTCTCCACTTCAATACGAACGGAAGGTGAGGTCTAGACCCCTCACGCTAATAAAATCATCCCCATGCCGGGCGGGCGCCCTTGAGGAATGCTGGCGGAAGCGTGGCCAGGGCACGACTGCAGGGCGTCCCTTGAGCCCCGCATGTGCCCCCCTTTTCGTGGCTTAGTCAACTTCTCTGACGCTGGGTCAGTATCGCTGCTGGTTGCCGAGTCGATGTCCTCCAGCCTAGAACCCTGGCCCCTCGGAGAAAGGGACTCGCGGGAGGGCACGTGCGCACGGCTGGGAGGAGGGAAGGGTAGGGGCACTCTCAGGGGAGCCAGGGCCGCTCCCCACAGGCTCCAACATTCTCCCCAAAGTTTCCTGTGTGCAGCACCTCTTACCCCAGGACCTTGCACACGGCACGAGGTGGCGGCCCAGTGGGGTAACGGCCCCGGAAGAGGGGTCTCCACCGTGCGCTCAGCCCCGCACGCTCCCCACCCTCCAGCAGGAGTGGTGGCCCCCCCGTTTCTTTCTTACCGAGTCCTGGCACGAAAGTGTTGAGGAAGAGGCAAATGACCGCCACCGGGAAAGGCATGTAGGGGATGGCGGCGCGCAGGGGCCCCTTCTTCTCACGGACCTGCACGACAACCCCACTGGAGGATGCCCCCCGGGGGTCGGTCGTCGCCGCCGCCACCGTTTCGGCGTCCTTGTGCGAGGCTTCCATAGCCGCGTGCGCTCAGCGCCAGCCGGGCAGCGACCGGGGTGCGCCCTGCGTGCGGGTGCGCGGGGCGGGGGGCTCTGCTCCGAGCGAGGGCAGAGGGGGCGCGAGGCGAGGAAC